CTCATTGCTCTACACCCATACAAAGTTTTATCAGAACCTTTCGAACTACTGTGTTTACAAGTAAAATGAGCTGTAAATGCTTTCAAAAACTTGACCTACTTGGTTTAGTAACAGTGTCCTTCAATTTGCTCCTTGTTGTATTTACAACAGTCTTTAGTGAATCCAGAAAAGTAGCAGAACAAAATACAACCAGCTTGAGCTGACCGTCACAGTGCAGACATCTCCACCTCACTCTCACGGAGTAACAAGAGTCTAGATCATGACACAGCAGGTCTCAGAGGGGCACCTCACTTAGATATACACTGAAAGACACAGCGAGACGTAATGATGACTATAGTGATGGAGAAAGATGAGGTGGATGAAGCAATACAAGTGTAATAAGAGGCATGCTGGGTGTGTATGTGTGCGATAGAGAGAGAGAGCAGAAGGAGGTCAGCATGCTGCTAGAGATGAAAATGGGAATTTGACAAAAGTGTCAAATGGGACAATTTCCTAATTTAGAAAGACATCCCTCTCTTTTCTGCTCTCTCTGTGGCTTTCCTGTTCACTCTTTGTCTTTTTACCCCAGATTTCTTTTCCTATTCCCATTCCTCATCTCTTCCAGTCATTTCTCAATTCATTATTTTCTCTCTTCCATTTCCTTTTCCATCACCCTCTCGGCTTCTCTCGTTCCTCCCACGCTGTTTGCCTTTTCCTCCCCTGTTCTTGTACAAGAAACCCAAATGACCACACTGTTACTTTGCAATGAACCATGCAGGGCTGTTGGTCCATCACACCTTGAATGGAATGTCTTATAACCACAGCCTTAAAACTCAATTTACAGCACACCACAGCTGTAACCTGTAACCTGATGTGCCACTTCCCAGAAATGTGACTACAAATCACAGTCATGTGGACCATGACAGCAATGATAGGTCCTCATAATTGGTTAGGACAAGAATAAAGTCTCCGTGAAGCAAAATGTAACAGACTGTAACTGTATGTAGCTTGTTCAGAATGCTAACAAAAGCACCAGTATTTTCATCACATTTTCTTGGTATAAAGATTGTATATGAAACTTGTTATTTTTAATTCGTTTTACAAATCCAGATGTCAGTCTCCTGACTCATTTTTGCCTAGGATTCTGTTGTTTTTGTTGTTGCACAATATCTGTCATGTTTCGGCTGTGTACAGGCAGGAGAAGGACCCAAACGCAAAACTCACGACAACAAAATTAAACTCAAAAAGCTGCTTTATTGCAGAATGGACCAAAAAATATAACAAAACTAAACTGGGGCATGGATAACCTGACACACAGGGAAACACAGCCATGAGGGAGACTACGACACTGACAAAGAGAAACACAGGGCTTAAATACACAGAGGGATAACGAGGGAATGAGACACAGAAGGAGAGCACAGCTGGGAGTAATCAGGCTGGACGAGACAAGGGAAGCAAAACTAGAAACACTCACATGAGACGTGGACCTTCAAAGTAAAACAGGAAACACACTGACTGAACTCAAAACATGTAAACTTAACAGCAACTGAGACAGAACATAAGGAGCTGAAACATGGGACAGAAAGGCAAGGTAGACACAACATGAACATAATGACGCCCACAGGGAAAGAGCAAAACAGAGCACCGAAACACAGGACTTCTTTCAAAATAAAATAGGAAACAATGAAACACTGACATGACTACATGAACTTGACAACATAAGAAACAGACATGAAACACATGAAGGATAAGGGAGACTTAACACAAGGGTTGAAAACACAAGGGGAATATAATAAGCAAATGAACATAGAAATCTAATGAGCTTAAACATACACTATAAACATCAAAATGAACTAAAACTCAAAACGCTGGGTCATAAGACCCAGGATCGTGACAATATCTCCCGAATCAGTTGCCTCTCTGGTGCTTTTTGAACTAAAGGAAAAGTGATTATTGTCACGTTTACATTATTTTTATGTTTAGACTTGGTACTGACTTTGAAGTTATCCTACTAGAAAGAAATCGTATAATGAGTGTCATGAATTGCCGATAGCTTTAAAACATCTTATTGTGATTGTTCTTGAAACAAATTTGCTTTTGCTGATCATTTAGTGGGTTTAAAATCCATCTCCAACCCCTTTTACAGTGGAGCCCATAAGACTTTAATTATTGACAACTAATGATCAATTAAAACTTATGAAAGGTAATTTAAAATCTTTCACGCTAAGTTTGGTCAACATATTCCACAGTGACTGTTGATGTATTTTTGCTAGAAACATAAATGCACTCTTATTTAATAGAAATAAACTAATTTTGTGGAGATTTTTAAACCAAAGAACTCAGTGACAGGATAATTCAAAAAGTAAACCGCTGATGAAAGGTGGGAAAACAAATACATTTATATCTTTTGTATGAATGTCTTAAGTTTGTATCTTATCCTATGTCTGTGATCATCTGATTTTATTTGCTTCACGAGTGATTAACAAAAAATCCAAAATCATTGGAAAATGAATCTCTTTCACTGGCCATGTGTCATGCATCATAGTCCAATGATCAAAAACTATTTTTAGAGTAAAAACTTACTATGATAATGTAACCAGCTGTTCGGCCAAATGCCGGTGCATATAGAGAGCTTTGCTCTGAAGCCCGTAGTGTTGGGCTCCTGCCCAGTCAACTCTTCATCCGAAACTCCGAGGAACACTGTTGGCTAATTCCGGGTGATTCACTGATGAAGCAGCTAGCCTCCTGTTCCCAGCCTCATTATATCTTTAAACATTAGTCTTTGCTGGAGTTGAGCTTGTTTACCTCAAACCACAAAGGATGAGGGAACAAGACTCTGCTTGGTTCACATCATCATTAGTTTTATATTTCTCTTCCCTTTCCACTTGCCTCTATGCTAACAAGCCCTCTCACACCTTGACATACACACCTTCCCCCCTGCATGCCCGAACACCTTCTTTCATGCGCTGTACTGACGTTGTTGTTCTCGCGCTTCCAAGGATACACTCGGGGTCTGGTGAATGTGATGTGAAGGGAGCTGGAAATAGATTACTTCTCTCTGATCAGCTTTGGTCTCCTACAGATGTTGGGTCAATATACCAGCTGTGGTGGGGGTGTGTGTGTGTGCGTGTGTCCTCCCCTTGGAGCCTTTGAGTCAGCTCTCCTTTGTTTGTTGTTAATTGGTTAGAAGTGAACGGGGTGCATTTGGGAGAGTAACATCCTTCAAAGGTCACTGACAATGAAAAGTGCAGACCCGTTACGCTGCTGCAAGGGCTTCTGGGTATTTGTTACGCTTGCAAGAGCCTGGTTAATCGGTTTATAGTGTATGTGTGTACGGATGTGTGCGCTTAAATGCATTTGCGTGTTAAGGCTTTGTTATCTAAACTTCTTTCTTTCTTTGTCTTTCTTTCCTCTGTCCACAGAAACCTACGAGGATTTCGATTCACGTGTCATCGAGGTTAGTGTCACTTGTCCCTTTCTGTTTACTGAACGACACACTGTGCTCGACAACGTTTTCGACGATGTTGATTAACAGTTACGTTTAAATTGTTTCAAAAATGTAAAAAAGGCTATATTGTTAATAAACGAGGATGATCCCTTGTACAGCATGGTCATCAAATTAACAGTTTTCATCAAGAGAATAAGTTTTTGACATTTTAATTGTTTCACTTCATTTTAATTGCTGGTTTATTACCCTCACCAAGTTAATAAGAACCGTTTCATCTCTCTGCATTAGCTGACTGGACAAAATACAGCTGTACTGATAGCCCCCCAGACTTCTAGGAACTTCTAGCTTATTTTGTTTTATGTGTCATTTTCTAAATAAATCTGACTGTACATTAAAATATTGCAGAAAGCCTCGAAGGGAGCAAACAGTTTTCAAGTATTTCAAAGCAGTGGAAAATCCAGTGTGGTGTGTACACATGGATGGTGATAGGGGCAAATTTGCTGAGCAAGGGTAGCTCCATTTGAGAACTAAGCAGCAGCATTTGAGCAGTTGGACTGGTTTAGCACTCCCTGAAGTCAAATAGTGTAATATCTAGGTCACGTTTGCTTCATGTATGAAACCAAGCATACAATTACCCCTAAAGCAAAGTTGTTCATTCAAGAGTTTGTTGGATATAATTGCAGTTTTTTTTCTTTTAGAATTTCACACGGTATGCAGTTTATTAAGATCTGAATATAATTTGGCGCAATTGACCCTTAAAATCCTGAAGGCCATTGGAGGTTTTTAGTATTCCTGAACTGTTTGGCAGTGTAACTTTTATGCTGTCAATATAAGGCAGGGGTGGGGCAACTCCAGGCCTCGAGGGCCGGTGCAGGTTTTAGATGTGTCCTTGATCCAACACAGCTGATTTAAATGGATAAGTAACCTCCTCAACATGTCTTGAAGTTCTCCAGAGGCCTAGTAATGAACTAATTTGATTCAGGTGTGTTGACCCAGGGTGAGATCTAAAACCTGCAAGACACTGGCCCTTGAGGCCTGGAGTTCCCCACTCCTGATTTAAGGGATATTTTAATAGTAAAAGAGCTCAGTCTCTCCTAGTTAAGTTACATAATGACTACTTTTTGAAAATAACAGTAAGCTGGATAAAGAAGAAAATTGGGTCATTTTAGTTTGACCTGACGATGTCACATGCCTCAGTGGAGACATAATAACAAAGAAGAGAGTTACCATCACACTAACGATGGCACTGCGGCTGGATGTCAGGTTCAGATTAGAGCAGCGTTGTGTTTGATATCAGAGGGTTTTGATTGCAGTTTCTCGCCAAAAGAATATATATGAGACTGCTGATGATTAGGAATTGCCCTTTAGGCAGTCACTAACTAGACTGTAGAAGCTGAACTGGACAAGAAAAAGGTAAGACTAGTACCATTTTGTGTCATTTGTCCCATGATAAGAGAACTGTGGAAGGAATGAAGTTGTAATACAATCAGTTGCCTTTTCATTACTGGTATAACATTTTCAGGCCAAATTTTCCAACCGTTGAAGTCAACAATCCAATAAACAAACATTCTCCTTTAGTCTTGAGTGTTTTACCCAAGACTGGAGAAAATGAAAGTGGCACCAAGACTTCCTGAAGCTGATGCAAGCCAGAAAAGTGTTATATTGTTTCCATCCAGGTGATAAATAGTATAGGGTTGTGCAATTAATGAGCAGCATGCTAGAGATCCACTGAACTACCTTTATTTCAGTCCAATAATTATAGCTTGAAATTAATAAGCTGCATTTACGTCAAGGCACCTCGAGACTTGACTTCAGGATTGCTTCGCTAGAATGTTGCATTCAAATACAGTTTATAAATTTACTGAATTGGTATTTATTATTAAGATGATAAATTACTTTGGGACCAAAATAGACAAAAGGAAAGACAAAAAGTGCATTTATGTTATTCCCCCAGTTTATTTACATGTGTTTAATTGCAGCGCGATGTGACAGTCATTACTGCATAGCATGCTACTGTCATGGGCTAGTGTCTTGTTCCATGTTTTTCTGTGGGTGCACAACCTCGTACATTAAAAATGGAGCTAATGAGACACTGTTAATGTGAAGATAACAGCAACTGAGTTGAAAGAAACAGTTATGTTAACAGGGGTACAATAAAAGCTTCCCAACAAGCAGTAAAAGTGATGTAATATAGCAAGAGGCAAAGGAGTCTTTCTGTTTCTTTCTGTTGCAGCTTTTGTTCATTTTATTTCACAAACTAAAGAATGAAAGAAAGAGGCAAACACATAAAACATGGTGTGCACACACACTAAAACCCTACTAAATGCTGATGTAGCTGAAAGTACCTGCTTCACTGCTGACGAGTGGTGTAGTAAACATAGAGCAACATAGAGTTAAATGGATTAAATCGTCCTATTGTCAATGACTGATTCTTATTGCCTTACAGCATGTAGTATATCCGTCTCCACTGAGAAGATTAATAGATTTTTAAAACTTGATTACCGCTGATGCTTAAATCTGAATATTTCAGCATGAAAAATATGGCCTAAGGCTACATGTAACTTGTAAAAGATATGAGGATTCATGTTGAAATCTGGTGAACCTGGTAGCTAAGTGACACTTTGCACTGCAGTCGTGTGAGCTTCAGGATAAAGAAAAATTGTATTTTGAAGGCAGTGTGTGTGTGTGAGAGAGAGAGAAAGAGAAACAGAATAAAGCTACACTGCATAGACAGTTCATTTAGATTCTGTCTTAGTGAACCTGGAACCTACCTTAATTCAATTAGTGCTAATGGACCCTACTGAACTAATGGGGGTAACGCTACAAGGTCACATGCAGGAAGACCCAGATGTGCAGCAGAGACAGGGGGGTGCACACATGTGGAATATCTGATTTTCATTGAATACCTGTTTGTCTATACCTTAAATATAAGTTATATATTTTATATACTCATATGTATGATTTTTAATTTTTTTTAAATGTGACTGACCAGATGTATCTATTCCATACACACATGTCATTAGATATTGTGTGTGTGTGTCTCATTAATAGTCTTCCCTACAGCTCCTGTCTGCATAAATAAAAGTGGTGTCACAGACATTAGGCTTCCCCCTGGAAACCGATGGACGCTTTTATGGTGCCATCGCCTTCTATAAATATACCCTGTGTGCGTGTGTGCGAGAGTGTGAGCGTAAGTGTGCACCACTATAAATCCAGGCCTAATGAAATGAAAAAGGCTTACTGGAATAAAAGGCTCGTCTCCCAAGGACGATCATGCTGGCATGCCATTAGTGAATACATCCAGCAGGAGGGAGGGAAGAGGAGGGAAAGAGAAAAAGTGTAAGAGAAGGAAAAGTTGTGAAAGTTATCTTGAAAGTCGAAAGGTGAGAAGAAGGGAAACAAAAGGCTGAAGCTGTGTAACATTAATAAAGACTCATTAAATGTAGATAAGAATAAGTACATACTTTTGAATGTAATGGTGAAACATTTTTAAAGTTTAAAAAAATGTATGTTTGATATTTCACATTTTATTTTAATAATAGAATGTAGATGCACACATTCCACACATATCCTTTTATTGTTATTTTAAGCTTGTTGAAATGAACTTACTCCTTGTTGTTTGACAGTATCAACTCATTTCAGTTGATGTTGATGTTTATGCCAAGAGAAATACTTAGAGATCTACTCATCTCTCCTTCAGTATCTGCTAAGTTATATCTTTGTAGGCGAGTCTTTACCTGTCACACTGTTCATACTGTCTCTTTTGGATTGGATTGGATTTCCAGTACGCGGTGCTTCTGGCAAATTACTACAGACTGTAAAAATACATAAAGATCTCCTGGCAAGCCAAAAAATAGCTGCAACAAAATTCATCCATAACTTAAAGGTTGATATTTCAGTTTAAGATGTCCACATTAAGGATGATAAGAACTGCTTTGTTTAGTTCAGTTATTTAGATGTATTAATCCCAAAGGTCACATAATAGGCACGGTGACAGCAGATTTACACTGTTGTGTACAAGCTGTACACCGACTTGTACACTGACTACTTTACATTATATCAGTGTGTCATGTCTTCACTGTTCTCCCATGAAAAGATATATAACAAAATATTTAAATAAATGTGAGGGGTGTACTCACTTTTGTGAGATACTGTATGTGCTTTATTTATTATCAAAGCAGGCTATTTTTGTAGGCCTACATATTCATTGTTTTAGTCCTGTAACATAATAAATCCAACAAAAATATGGTATTAATATAGGGAAACTAGAAAGTTAAATATTAGATAAATACCAGTTAAATATCAAATAATACTATTGTAGAATGTTTACATGTTGTAAAGGATTTTATTTGTGCTTGTTAGTAATGTGGAAAGGAGACTAGGCTTTATTGCCTTCACTTTAAGGTCCAAATATCTTTTGTGGCTCCATGCAGACCTTTTAGGCAAAAACTGGTCAAAATACGTCGTTTGAAAGCAAAGGTTGCTTTGTCCTATGTTGACTAAAAGTAGTGACAAACCAGTGCTGAATTATCCCCTGACTGTACAGCTGCCCTCAGCTCATAGGCTCTTTTTAATACACTATTTTGGTCTTCCTGCTGAAAACTGTAACTACTATTGTTCAGTCTATCCACCCTGCCTTATTTTAGCCTGCAGCTCTTATGAAAAGCTCTGAGAAAGCCACTTTCATGTTAAGACTGGGCAGTTAATTTAATTTAATTTTTATTAATAAGGCTGGCTTACAAAAATTCCAAAAAAAAATGAAGATAAAATGATCACTGCTGCCCCCCGCTTCATACTCATCCACCTCCCCAAGCAGTCAAAAAATAATTTGTGCTCGTATGTGAGGACATGCTTTACAGAGAATCATTAAATGAAAAATGTGCACCAAAATGCATCTAAATCATCTAATCCAGTACAATTACACCAAAAACTACAGCTTCAAAAATTCCCATTAAGTTAAAGCACACGGCTCTGGCACACTCAGTGTGATGAAGAATAGAGCTAGGGAT